ACCCTGGGTAATAACTGGTACTATCGCAGTGCACCCTGGGTAATAACTGGTACTATCGCAGTGCACCCTGGGTAATAACTGGTACTATCACAGTGCACCCGAGGTACCAAGAAGGATTGTTCTTGGATTCCCGTACCGACAACCGTATTGGATTCCCGTCCCGTATTTACTTGGTTTGTTTATCTGTTTCTCTAAAGTTTCAATCAAAATGATATTTTGCTTGTATTTAGAGAGCTAACTAAACAAATCAAGTAAATAATTTGTTTAAAAGTAAGTACATTCGTAACGAAATCCGAGAACAATGTTCGAACTTTTGAGTGATCGTAACACAATCCAATAAGATTTATACCACGTAATGGCTAGCGCCGAAGTTTTCAATTGCAGTGCACCCTGGGTAATAACTGGTACTATCGCATTGTATCCTGGGTAATAACTGGTACTATCGCAATGCACCTTGGTAATAACTGGTAGGATGGCAGTGTACCCTGGGTAATACCTTGCACAGCCGCAATGCACCCTGGTTAATACATTCCTACCTTGTAGTCTCCAGACAACTTTCTGTTTTAATCGTCCAAAAGCTTCAGCCATTATGTCTACTTTATCCTTGTCCAACACTGAAGCCACGTTCGATCCAAAAGACACGATAATGAAACCGTCATCACCAGAACTGTCAATCAACTGCTGAAGATCAGGAGGGAGGGGTTTGACGGGCTGGATATTCAATGGACCAATCAGTTTGAAGCCTGTTAAAAAAGTCAAAAATTTCGAAATTAAGCCAAGAGCAGAGCAAAATTCAAAACGGGACACTTAAAATTCATTCTGTTCTTTTGCATGCTTTGCTTAGGATTTTTGTTGTATTTTAAAGATTTCCTAAGATTTAAATAAAAGTTAATAATTTAATATTGAAATTAATAAAGGATTTTTCCCTCTACCTGGTAGGATAGGGTAGGAATATTCCACTGCAAAATCTGCCAGGAAAAGTGTCAGTTCTGTGTCCATCAAGGAATCCCGGAAGCTCCTCTCTGGTCTGATGTTGTATTTCTGTTTCAGATGATCGAAGTGTCTTGTCAAAAAGGCATCAAAAAGAAGACGCCCTGCAATATACATGATAGTGTTCTTTATTCGCTGAAGGAAATTCATTTTGCCAGGATTATGGCTCATGTGTAGTGGGATATACGAGAGAGTAAATATCGATTCATAAGGAGTGAATACGGAGAGAATCCTGGGCGACATGGGACAGTATTCAATCCTCTTGAGACCAAGATACTCGGCAACTAGTGGCCCACAGAACATCGATGTATCGGTAATGATGACATCAAAATTCTTCAAAGGTTCAAGTAGTTTTGTATCGTTAAGCAAGGCCTCACAGAAGATACGCTGCACCATTGGCATGGAGGTGTTCGACCCTGAGAACATCTCCTTAACAGGACCTTCCTTGATGAGTCTCGCTACCATCAGATTTTCCAGGAAGCCTTGAGGGTACGGTACCTGGTAGACCACGTGAGTGATGCCCTTTGCTGGTTTGATTTTCTGGACTTGGCTGACCAGGATAGTGACCTGGAAAAGAAAGAAATATTAAGAAGAGAGTCAAAAAACATGGAAACCACCTTGGTTTCTTCACAAAGGCTGTAAATGCTATTTTCCCTCATCATCATGATAGAATGGCTTTTTTTAATTTAAAAAAATTGGCAACCCAGGAATAATAACCCGTGTTTTTTTGGCAGTCGTATAATGCCTGAAATCTAATTGAATGACCAACGTGACATTCCTTGCTTTTTTCACGGGAAACTTTGACTATACCACGTTACTCTATATTTGATTGCGTTACGTTATCTTACATCATCAATGACATAATACGATTCTATATTTAGTTTCAATGTCATTTGAAATTCGCAGCTTTGAAAGTGTGATGCCACAAAATCACAAAAAGACTCAACTATTATTTTTACAAACTTCCTACCAGGCGTGAAATCTATAAAATATGTTTTTCAATTTTGTATTTTTTTTCACAATTGTGTAAAACAGTCAAAATTAAATTATTAAAACAATATTGAAGTAAACAATGCTACAATACRGGACAATTGTATGTATGCGTTAAGTTCAACGGTACCTGAATATTTTAAAAAAATTCCAAAATTTTAAGTTAATTTGATTTTTTTTACAAACAACCCGAGAGTCAGAGTAGCTAATATGATGAAGGAGTTAAGGTACTTACTTCATGTCCCCTGCTGACTAACTCTTCAGCTATTCTCTTCATTCCGATGTACTGGCTTCCTCCAAACATTGGGTATCCAACTATCTTAGCTGTCTGTGTTGATTGGATACCAAGAAGGAGAAAGTTAAGACACGAGATCAAAAAAACTTTTTGCATTTTAATTTACGTGTCGTGTTGAGTTCGTTTAAACACTGTTACGTTACGTCTGCGTCGCAGGGTATTTGAGTCAAGTGTACGTGCAGTGAGCCATATTGCAATCTCAGCTCGACCGTAGAAATTCTTTTGTTAGTGAACCAACGCATGTACCGGAAGTAACGTAATTAATTTGCTGTGCCCAATACGTGCAGAATTTACGAGTTCACTATGGCTGTTGTCATGCGATCTGATGAAAACATATTTAAACATGATTTCTAGTTTGAAGGAACTTTTGTGACCTTTGTCCAATGTTTCAGTTGCTTTTATTTTTCTCTGACCAACACCACAGGCTTACCATTGTGTGTCAGTGTGTTGGTTTGGCCGTTCCTTTTAATTTGGAATTCGAAAATGGTCTACACCTTGCTTCAAATTCACAGATTCCTCTTGTATATTCTTCAAAACTAGCCCAACCAACACACTGACACAAAATGGTAAGCCTGTGCCATTACCCAATCTCGTACTCAGAGCCTGCGTTTCTTCTGGCCTGCGGCGAAGAACGAGGGCTCTGGCATAATCCATATTTTGGCGCATGCGCAATTCTCGGAAAGTGATATATAAACGGTCAAAATAAGCAAAGTAAACATTAAATCGAAGTCAAAATCAAAGTCAAAATCTTAGTATAAGGGGGGGGGGGGGGGGGGGGGGGGGGGAATATTTTTTATTTTTGGCAAGTCTTTGAACGCGTGCGCTGTTATACCGGAAGTCCAAGATCCTGGTCTCAAAAAATGGATTATGGCAGAGCCCTCGTTCTTCAACGCAGGCCAGAAGAAACGCAGGCTCTGGGTACGAGATTGGCCAACACCTTTCAGGAAGCTGCGCTTGCGCAATACATACACCAATTTCGTATTCAATGCAAACCGCTGTTTTTGAAGACCACAGGCTCATTCGTACAGGCTTAGCTTTCAAAACATTGGTATTGTTCAGCTTGCACATTCTTTACATTACAGTTAACTTTTGCAAATGGTTTGCTCTTAAACGAGTCTAAGCCTGTGCAGATGAGTTTTCAGTCATAAAACACAGCGGTATTTACCGAATGAGACAATTCAGCTGGTAGGAATGTGTACTTACCTTAACTAATGACTTAACTAGGTAATAAGCTTTTTACATAAATCGAGGCTAGACATTTATAATCGTAACAAATGACATGACGGTAGAGCACAAGTGGATTGCACAATATTTAATAGATAAAAATTAAAATCAATTAAAAATCACATGCAGTTCTTAGGTTTGGAAGATATTCAAATTCTACAGAAAAAATTGAAAAGATTATCGGAACATTCCAGTATAATAAACGAGTGGGAAGGTCACTGAGTCTTGACTTTGTTGTTTCTTGACCGACAACACAGCCAACRAACAAACCTAAYCATGTACTTRATCAACAAAATCACTGCAAAAACTATCAAGACCAGKAAAAGTACCACATCGACCAGGAARTACTGGTACCAGGCTAGTTGAGAAGAGTAGGGTCGTAGATGTGCAAGACCACCATGTCTAACAGTGTATTCTATCCAATCAGCTGCCTCCTGTGCTGGGCTAYRAGGGCGGTCACTAAGCAGACCAGAAATTCGCTGAGCGTTTTCTTTGAAACTGAAAAAAATACATTTGCAAATAAAATAAAAAAACACTTTTAGATTTCTGTTAAAAATACTCTAAGTCCTCCCTTTATGAAGTCTGACTGGTTTTCAAAACCAGAATTTCTCTAAGAATTGCAATTTTCTTTATAATGGCTATATTTTTAGTGTTTTTTTAAAGCAGTACCTCCAGACTTCGGATTTTGGCCCCGACACCGTTATCTCAGGATCTACAGATTGATTAGGAGCTACACCGTAGTTGATTAAGCTCTTGCTATGACAAGCACATTTTTTTGATTGGTCCATGTGGGATGCACTATGTATGAATCACCAGTACGTCATAGAACTTCAAATCAATCTATATACCTTGGTTGTTGGATGACTCGTTGTATGGTGTTGTACATATCATCAGCCGTGAGGGTCTGGTAGTCTAAACTCAATCCCATGCCTCTCTCCTCAACCAACAAAGCATTGTCCGGTTGGTCTCCAAATAAGGGCAAAGATACCACAGGAACCCCGCGATATGCTGTTTCGTACAAACTGTTTTGACCCACGTGAGAAACAAAGACTCGTATCTTTGGGTGAGCCAGCAAGTCATTCTGGGGCAGCCAATCAACGGCTTTGATGTTAGGACTGAGGGATGATGGGATATATCCTGCAACGGAAATCAGTTATGTTCCAACCTCATTCCCAGGGCCTTCTCTTCTCGCTTTTTTTCAAGATGGCGGCGCTCGAAGGGAAGACCGTCTAGGACGAGGTTGGTTATGTTCATAACATGAAACCACATTGTCCAAGCAATAGCAATGTTTGGCGATTACTAAAAATAGACATCGCAAAGCCTTGTGAGATCGAAACGCGGACAAACATTGAAAAAAGGCTTTGATTACAAAAGAAGGAAAATATCAGTCGACAAAACCAAAGTTCTTCCTTGAATTGAAAGCGAGACATCGAAATATTGTTGCAACATAGCATGTGCGCTTGGCTCAGCTTGTCCGCATTTCAATTCCATGATGCACAATTATGACGTCATCCTTGGAAAACGCTATTTGATTGGTTCAACGGGTTGTCCTGTGATGCCATAAAAATTTTGGCAATCATACAAAATTTGCCCCAAAATGTTACCTTGTAGTCTCCAGACAACTTTCTGTTTTAATCGTCCAAAAGCGTCAGCCATAATGTCTACTTTATCCTTGTCCAACACTGAAGCCACGTTCGATCCAAAAGACACGATAATGAAACCGTCATCACCAGAACTATCAATCAACTGCTGRAGATCAGGCGGGAGGGGTTTGACGGGCTGGATATTCAATGGACCAATCAGCTTATAGCCTAAATACAAATCAAATGTTGGAAAAGTCAAATGTGGAAATTAAATTTTATCCCACTCATTATCATATGTGAGAGGTCGTTTCAGGGTTTGATCTGTGAGTTAGCCATGCCCTGACTTAGATCAGCTCAGAGGTTGTTTCAGGGTTTGATCTGTGAGTTAGCCATGCCCTGACTTAGATCNGGTTTGATCTGTGAGTTAGCCATGCCCTGACTTAGATCAGCTCAGAGGTTGTTTCAGGGTTTGATCTGTGAGTTAGCCATGCCCTGACTTAGATCTGCCCAGAGGTCGTTTCAGGGTTTGATCTGTGAGTTAGCCATGCCCTGACTTAGATCAGCCCAGAGGTCGTTATTTCAAGGTCCTACTTGCGACCACACCTACTTGGTGGAATAGGATGAGGATAATCCACTGCAAAATCTCCCAAAAAGAGCGTCAGTTCCTTGTCCATCATGGCTTCCATTAGGCTCTTTTCTGGCTTGATCTTATATTTTTCTTTCATCTTTACGAATGGTCTAAGCGCGATAATAGGAAAAATAATCTGTCCTACAGTGAAAATCAAAGCGTTCTTCGTTCGCTGTAGGAACGTCATTTTTCCTGGATTGCGAGATAGATAGAGTGGGACGTAGGAAAGAGTGAAGACTGATTCGTAAGGAGTAAAAATGGACAAAAATCTTGGTGAAATAGGACAGTATTCAATCCTTTTAATACCAAGATACTCGGCAACTAGTGGCCCACAGAACATCGATGTATCGGTGATGATGACATCAAAATTCTTCAAAGGTTCAAGTAGTTTCGTATTGTTAAGCAAGGCCTCACAGAAGACGCGTTGTATCGTTATCATACTACTGTTGTTTGAGTGCGAAAGTAGGGATTTTAGGATGCCTCCTTTGATGACAGCGGAGACCAGCAGTTTTTCCAGAAAGCCTTCCTGGAAAGGCACTTGGTAGACTTGATGAGTGATACCCTTTGCTGGCTTGATTTTCTGTACCTGGCTGACTAGAATGGTCACCTGAAAATAACATGAAGTCAAGACTGTCAAAGAATTCTTTTAGTTCTGGTGAATTGGACGTTTGCATGATGACGTCATTTGACTCCCACTACCAAGATGCTTCGCGAATTTTCTTTCTTATCTCAATTTGTATTCCCTCATGAGAATAGTAAGACAATGGGTGCTATTAACTGAACACAAGAAAGTCTGCAAGGGAGTCTGGTAGTAGAGGTCAATGACGCCATCGTGCAAGCGTCCTATTTTCGTGTTAGATATGCATTTTTACAGCGGCCATGTTTGTTTCAGTGTCGGACGCATTGGCGCACGCGCTTACACTTTTCACGGCGTTGTTCAGTAGAAAACAGGGACCTTAAGATGCAGGACGGCAAGGACGACGACAACGGCAAGCAAACAATAAGCACTACTTGCGCTATTCAATAGACTCTGGTTGGAATGTACGAAATACTCTACATCATTGCCGTCTTATACTGAAAGTAAGACGTGAAATGTCCTATTTTTACGTAGTAAAGAGAACGGCTACGCCAAATGCTCATGTTTGCTAATTTTCGTTTTAAGTAAAGCGCTCCCAAAAGCGCTCATTTAATTCTAAAGCGGGGATACTTATTGAGTGAAATACTAGGTAAACACGAAGTAATAATACAATAGAAGGTTGAAGCGCTTCGATCTCGTCGACGCTGTTTCCCGCGTTCCGCGTTCAAGCGCTCCCAAAAGACGTCATTTAACTCTAAAACGGGGATGCTTATTGAGTAAAATACTAGGTAAACACGAAATAATAATACAATAGAAGGTTGAAGCGCCTCGATTTCGTCGACGCTGTTTCCCGCGTTGCCGTCCTGCAGCTTTTAAAGGTCTCTGTTAACGTCTATCGTGCTTGGCTAGGTCTAACTGGGAGAATTCTCGTCAAATCGATATACAACCGATCTCTTGAAAATTTTATATAGCATTATAATCTTCATTGTTTTTAAGCAGTTTAAGAGCGGCTGTCCAGAAATATCGAGCACGGGGCGGCCACAGTCAAAAAATAAAAGTCCTTYATTTTTGGTCTGTAGACACTGTTTGATGAGTTTATGAACGTACTAGGGTCGGTTTTTCGATCTACGTAAAAAATCCGGATTTTTTTGAAAAAAACGATTTCACCCCGTGTCGGTCTAAAAATAGATCAAGAAACGACTGCGAATTATGCTTTCAAAAACATTCTCGCTCCAGGTGAAAACCCAAGTTACAATCAAATTTGCAACTGAATTCAAGAAAAGGGGTGTTGAACAATTGTTCCAGGTGATTTTAGACGTTTTAAACTAAACTTTAGATAGAAAAAATTGCATTCTTCCAGCACAGTTATTCACAGTCTCGATTTTACCTCACATTTATAAAAGCGATTTTTCGCATGTGGCCATTCTCCAATTTTTACAAAACTCAAGCTGTACAATGTTCAAATGATAGAATAACAC